TTTCCCATCTTTGATTACCATCTCCAGGGCATCCTGGGTCAATTTCTTTAATTGGTCCCGTGTTGGATCTAGCCACATCCTCATCTATCAGCTGTGGTATGGTCTCTGAGGATCACTACCACAGGACTGAGCATCTGTTTCTTGAAAGGTGGAACCAACTTCTTCTCCAGGTCTGGATCCATAATATAGCAGGACAGCATGCTCTGGCACCGAGCTAGGCCATTCAGTGTTTTCTGGAAAGACACAAGAATGCCCTCAACACTATATGAGTAACGAGTGGGGTCCCTTCCATTGTCCAGTACGAGAATCTTTCCAAGGTCTCTTCCTAACTTTTCCTTTACCTGACTGAACTGTCTTTGTGCTTCTGTTGTCCCATCCTTAGTAGCATTTAAAAATTTAATAATATATAATGCTAAGTGAAGTCTACTATGAGGTATGCAGTTTTATAGGGAAGGATTCCCCTTTTAGTTTTTTAGTTGAATTTTAAGCATACAATGAACATGTTCAACAATTCCTTGACCTTAAGGATTATGGGGAATTCCTGTGATAAGAGAAATGTGGAAAGTTTCCAAAATGTTTGGAAAGCAGCACTTGTATAAGCCAGGCCATTGTCAGTCTTAAGTCCCTATGGAGAGCCAAGGGTACCAAAAGCATCTAAGAAATGAGCAGTGACATGTTTAGTTGCTTTACCATTGTGGGTTGAAGCAAAAATAAATCCTGAGGGAGGTATCTACTGAAATGGACCCGGTGTAGAGAGTCAAACTCAAGATGTTAGTGACATTCATTTTCCAGAGATGATTAGGGTGTAACTCTCAAGGATTAACTCCAATACAGACTGAGGGAAGATGTCTCACACATGAGGAACACTGTTTAACAATTTGTTGAGTCTCTTTCCAGGTTAAAAGGAACTGTTTCCATAAGGCTGGAGCATTTTGATGGAAAGTGGCATGGGAGTCAGAAGCCTAGTGAAAGGCATCTAAAGGAGTAACAGTGACACTAATCAGTAATCTGTGTATTGTAGCATTTCCCTCAATGAGAGGCCCCAGCAATTGAGAATGAGAATGTAAATGACCAATAAAATAGGGAACATGGCATGATCAAATGACAGATCAGAGAGTGATACAAAGTAAAAACATCTTCTTGGCCAATGTGAATAGTGGCTGTTTGGATGAGGCACACCACATTGCAAACAAAAGTACCATCTGAAAAGCAGTTAATAGCAGTAGATGAATGACCCTGCAAGGCCCATATGACAGCCTGCAATTCAGTCTTTTGTGCACAAGAAAAACTTGCATCCTGTATTCAAGAAGAAAAAGCCATTACATAACCTCCCCTACCCAAAGAAGAACCATCTGTGAAAACAGAGACACCTCTCACTATAGGAACTGAGCTTATTTCTGAAGGGAAGACAAAGGGTGAGAAGGAAGAAAATTGAATTAAATTGTCTGGAGGACAATGACAATAACACTAGTGATGTTAGCCAATGTGGATTGCCAAGAGGATGCAAATTGCCACAGTCACTGTTGTTGAACAGCAGAAAAGGGGACAAGAATAACTTGCAGATAGTAACTATGCTGCCCCTGGTGCAGCAGAGCAATTTTGGGCAGAATTTCCCTTGACCCTGCAGCTGAAAAGAGTAACACAGCAACTTTGGGCAAAATGCCCTTCTCTCCCACAGCTGAAACAAATATTAGAGCAATTTTGGGCAAGATGTCCTCTACTCCCACAGCTGAAACAAATAACCTTGTTCCTTCCGTTTTCTAAGGCTGTGGATGAGTAGGCTGAATGATAGCTGTTGCCAAGGCACCTCCATGAACATATGAAGGGCCAATGTCTGCACAAGTTTGATCCACTTGAGACATGTAGCCTGTTTTTTATGAACTCATAAAGCTTCTTTACACCATTTATTTGCATTTGCAAAGGCCAATTGTTGAACAATTAACTTTCCAGTCTCTGTGTTGTTGATAATTCTCCTAGTGGTTTGCAATAAATGTGCCGCAAAATCCTGAAAAGGATCCTGGTGAATGGAAGTTGGATCAAGGAATGTCTCACCCTTTGAAGGAAGTTCCCACCAAGTCTTGTGGCAGCTATTTTAATTTGTTGATATGCTTGGAGTAAGTTGATTATTTGTGGTGGCAAAGGCACCTTGTTCAGTTAACATGTCTTTTATAATGGCCACATTGCGAGTGGCATTGCAAGAAGCCTGATCTGTTCATAAATCAAAAAAAATTCCCTTCCACAATAAATAATCACTCAGACCTAAACATGCTTTAAGCCATTCCTTTCCAATCATTAGGGGCCATAACCTTTTGTACTATAAACTCTATGAAACCCAATGTAAAAGGGACTGTGAGGCCATAGCTAGTGGTTACTTGTTTTCGTTCTTTTCTTTTTGTTTTTTATCGGTACCAGGGATCAAACTCACAACTGCACACTTGCAAGCAGCACTGAGCTAAATCCCTAGCCTCCTTTTTAAAGTTATTTTTAGGGTACAGCTGCATGATGATGTGGAACTTGTCCTGGATTAATGGGTTCTTGCATTTCCGGAAAAGGGTAGACATGTTGAAAACCCTATAAGGATTCTTCTACCCACTTGGATTCTTCTAGTGTTGATTGCAAGGAAGAGAGAAAGGATAATTCTAGTCCATGAAAGTGGAAGTCTCAGCCTGTGTCACAGAAAAACTTTTCTGAACTGAGAAAGTGGGAGTAGTTATCTGTAGCATAAAGTGGTTTTGTTTTGGGTGGTTGTAAAATGAAAGTCATGGGGAAACATTACTCCAGTGGACAAAGTTCCTCCTCCCTCCCAGCTGCTTCCTTATCTGATTGAACAAAACTAGAGGGTTCAGGTTCTATTGGGGGAGTGTTTCTCCACTGTTTTTTTTTTTTTTTTTTTTTTTTTTTGCTTGGGGTTCACTTTTTAAAAAACTTTTATTTAAGGAGAAAAAGAAAAAAAGCAGAGAAAGGGTACAAGTTATACAGATTTACAGAAAAAAACAGTAGGAAATCACTAATTAATGGATTACATATTGTCATCTTAGAAATAATTGTTCAAGTTACAAAATTAAAGCTTATAAAGTGGACATTCCAACAGTGAGACTGCAAACAGTTCTGTTCAGTGATCCAACAAAACTCAGTAATATAATTATCTATCTTATGCTCTTTCTCTGTCATTAGTTGTCAGTTTGTCTTCTTCATTTTGTTTTCTGCTCCATTCATTGTGGTCTCTCTGCCACTATTTCTGGATTCTTCATATTTTTCTTTTTTAGAATATCCTGCAATATTCTCTGTAGAGTTTAACTGGTGGTTGCAAATTCCCCTAGTTACTCTTTATCCTGGAAGCACCTTGTTTTTCCATCAATTTCTAGGGATAGTTGTGCAGGATATATCAATCTTGGCTGGAGGTTATTATCTTTCAAAGTTTGAATTATTTCCCCCCACGTTCTTTGTGATTTGATGGTTTGTGCCAAGAAATTTGCTGTAATTGTGATGGGTGTTCCCTTGTAAGTGATCTGTTTCTTGTCTCTGATGCCTTTAATATTCTGTTCTTGTATTGGATTTCTGAAATTTTAATTATTATATGCTTGGGTGTTGCTCTGTTTGGGTTGTAGGTGGCTGGGGTCCTGTATGCTTCATACAACTGAGTATCTTTACCTTTTGCTAAATTAGGAAAATTCTCCTGGATTATTTCTGTGAGTAGCTTTTGTAGTTCATTTGTTTATGTCCCTATTTCTTCTTTTATGTTCTTAATCCTTAAGTTATGGATCCTCTTATCATCTTCTAGTCTTTATATTATTGCTGTTTGTTTCTTTGTTATTTTTAAGTTTTTCATTTCATGCTCCCATATTACAAATCTGCCCTCCAGTTCAGATAATCTGTCCTTAGTTTCTTTCAAGCTGTTATGCCAGTTTTCGATAGAGTTTTTAGTTTCCTGGTAATGTCATGTATTCTATGCTTTTTCTATTTTCTCCATCAAAGAATTCTCCCCTCTTTTTCTGTTTCCATTTCATCATCTGTTTTTTCTTGGGTGGTGCTTAGCATTTCTTTAACTATTCTACTTATGTCTAGCTTCAGGTCATTAATAACTTCATTCCTGAACTTGTCTATGAGGCTCTGGAGATAGCACTTTATATATATTGGTGCTGTGTCTGCTGTTGCCTCTTTCTCAGGATTGTGGGCCGAGGACCCTTTCTTGTTGCCTCTTCCCATATTCTTTGTTCCTTATATATGCAAGCGTATATAGGAGGCCCAGCTTCCTTCCCTGTCAGCCACAGTCTGATTGAATTGCACTGGCTAGGTGTTCCCGCCCACTGCAGCACACCAGGAAGTTGCAGACCAAGCAGCCTATGCAGGGCCCACCCCTCCAGGTCACCTTCAGGCTCTGGGATCTGGGTTGTGCTAGCCTACTGGGTCTCAGCCAGCAGCATCACGTAGGCTAGGCACTTCTCACCAATGCCGCTTGAGAGGGGGATACGTGGCTGAAGTCACTGCAGCGCCCTGTTCCCGCAAGTCTGCCCAGTCCCAGAATGTCCTCAGTTGGAGTCTCCTAAACCGTGGAAGAGACCCAGTTTCTCTCACTCACTGCAAGTCAATGCACAGCTCCCCGCCCATCCTACTTTCAACTCTGTTCACCGATTCCCGTTCTCAGAGCTTCTGTGCGTCTCTCTCCCTGCTGAGCCGATGTAGATGCCACAGTGATGGCGGGAAACCCAAATCGCAGCTTCCAATGCCGTGGGCTCCAGCTTCCACACTGAGGCTTTTCTGTTCCTGTTATAGCACCAGGATTGCATTCCCAGTTGGTTTCTCTCAGCCCAGTTCGTTCTTGGGTCAGCAGGGCATATCTCCACTTGCTTATGATTCCTTACTCTGCACCATTCCTGAATTCTAAGCTGGGTCTTTCAGAGAGCCTCTGTAGCTACTGCTATCTGTGCGCCATGTTCTCCCAGAAGTCGGGGTTCACTTTTAATATACTGCTAAGCCAAATCTTCTGATTATCTCAACAGGCATATGATCAAGACATTCCCTGTTCAAGGCCCACAAAGAAAAGGTAAATATGGGAATATGCTCAGGTGTATATTGGGCATCAGTATTTTGGGCATATAATTGTTTCCCTACACACCTCCATATCTCAGGGTTCACAATTCCTTGTATTGGAAACCAGAGATATGTCTCTTGCACAAAGGTGAGAAATTTTATCAGTTGAGAAATCTTTACACCTGTATATTTTGCTTTCAATAATACAGCAAACATTTCTATATACAGCTGTCTTGACAACCTGTTTGCCCAATGTTTTCTACTTGAAGGAATCACTATTGATATATTAATATACTCTATGCTTCTTCGTGAGCCTGTTTTGTGTTTTTTGCTATTAGGGGCCTGTTTTGTTTGCACACACACACACACACACACACACACACACACACACACCCCGAGATGGCCTCTTACCTGCTTTTGATGAGTTTTCTTGTCCTTCAGGTTCCTGGTTGGGTGCCAGGATGGAAGATGAAGAAATGAGGACAAGAGTTAGAATACAGAAAGCTGAGGTGGGGTAGAACCCTCTTTCCTGGAGGGAGAAAAGGAACTGCCCAATGACTGCAAGGCATTGACTCTTACAATCAGCAAGAAGTTGACAGCAGGTGCAACCTGATTAGAAAAATGTCCGGAGCCGCTTCCGTCCCGCGGAATGGAGCACACGAACACTCAGCCTCTGCAAGCACCTTTATTGACTGGGCAGCAACCTCAATACATGTCCGTCCTCGACGGCTTCTTCCGTGTTGTGCGTCGGGCACTTCCTATACTTGGGCTTATATAGCTAATGTTATCCAATCATGGGATTACACGGGACAGGCAATTGGGCGGCAACAAGGAAGCAATCAATCATTACCATATATGGCGGGGACAGTAAGCCGAGCAAGAACCAGGAAGCAGGATGTGTGTGCCATCTTGGGCACACGATGGGTGGGGGAGCAGCGGAGGCGGCAGGCGGGTGCCATCTTATGAATATGCTCTCATGAATAACATGGCAGGCTCCCAAAATCTCCCCCTTTCTTATTTACAAGCAAATGACAGTGAGGTCTTCCAAGTGACTACAGTGGTCTGTACCCCGCTGTGCATGGCTCTGAGGTCATCCCCCGGCACAGGTTGGCCACCCCCGCGTCGGAAGGGACCTCCAAGCCTCATCCTTTTGCGCAGGGCTAGGGTAATTCGGATGAAACCTAGATGCATACAGACATATAGCCTGACATCTCTCTTCAAAAACCCCAAGAGTAGAATGTCATGCAGTACCATCTGGTCTCGCACCTTGGTGCCTCTTGCTGTCATTGTGTGGAATGGGGCCTGTCTTAGGTTGAGCAAGTTGGGGTACCTCAGTCTTACCCGTCTTTGGCTCACCCATCCAGCATTTTATAACTGATGCTCTGCGACATGGAGGAGATATGCAGCCGCCTGGCTACCGGATGGGCCCCCCTCCGCCAGCTGCATTGCCGCCATAGCTGTGAACTTGACCTGCTGCTGGGTTTGCATCAAGCGGTCTAGCAAGCATTTGACGACCACCAACCCCACCAGTATGGCAACAACAATCAGAATCCAAGTAGTCAAATTGGGCCAAGAGAACCAGGAAGTGACATGGTCCCACAAACCTTTTAGGACGTCCCTCAGGGTAGACAAATCAAACCTAACTGGGTTTAATTGAACCTTTTCTATCTCGTTTAACTCGTGATTAACAACCACAGACAGATTATGAAATTTTGGCAGATAAGTGTCCTGTAACCACGCGGTCATAGTTTTGTGGTTTCAGTCAAGTTGGTGCGAACGGGAGTGACACACACCCGGAAGGACAGCCACCTCTGGTCGCAAAGTTGAGTGGCGACCTGCCACAGGGCATCGATCTCTTGTCCGATGAGTTGGATTTCTTCTTGTAGCCGGAGTATTGCTTGGCTGTTTAGCTCTATCTGTTGCCTTTGAGCCTTGATGGTCTCTCGTGTGGCGTTGCTCAGCCAATTGACTGCATCCATGGTCAGCGCGAGCTGCTCGGAGGTCCATGCCTGCAAAACAGCCTGTCCCACTGCAGGGACAAACAGAGAAGAGACCACCCCCGTTGCCTGCCACAACCAATCTTTTATCCCTCTTTTAGTTCTGGTTGGCAAGGAAGAGAGCGAGATCTGCTGTGAGACCGGTCCAACCCAGTCCTGGGCTTGCACGGGAATCCAAAGATAACTTGGGCGGTAAGCTAGAATGGCGAAATTAGGGTAACCATTCCAGCAGTTGGACAGTGTGCAGATGGTCTCATTGGTCTCATTATCAGCAGATGAGTTACAATAAAAGGAATACCGATGGGAGAGGACAAAGACAAATGAAGGGTCTACACAGATCTCCTTGTTGAGCGGGTGGGTCTTATTGGCTGCCCCGGTGGCAGTGGAAGTATTGGACAATGTCTGATTAAGTGTCATGAAGGGGCGAAGGTCTAAGCATGCTCCCATTATGTTACAGAGCTGATGTTGTGCAAATATGGAGGAAGTATATTTGAGGGGGTTAGATTGAGGCTCACTGCAGTAACTCATAGACAACCAGGCGGCTTCCACCGAGTAATTTAGGATTTTGGATATATTATCCTCCTTTCTAGGGTGAGTGGTCCAGAGCCACCATCCCTCCTGTGTTACAGGGTAGGGATGCACAACCGGGACACAGCGGCGCCAGAAGAGTTCTTCTAGTCTAGTCATTCTGGGAATATTAGAGGCTTCTAGTCTAGTCATTCTGGGAATATTAGAGCAGGATTCAAAGGACGGATGCCTTGGGGCCTGGAAATCTTTATTACAGTCAGGCAGTATGGGCCACCGCACCTCATTAAGGGTCAGACAGGTTTTTGGGGTTTTTAATCCTTCTGACAAATTGACCCTGGATGTACCCTCACTTTCCTGGCATGTCCAATTAACAAATTCCAGCAATGGGAATGTCAGGTTGGCCCTTTCTTTGGTGATGGATAAGTTTGCATAAGAGAGTATAATTGATAGTATATACCATGGGTGACGCAGGGGAAGCCGCGGAAAAGGGGGCCAAAGTGGGGGGTGGTGCCAAAGGCCCCAAAGATACTGGGCATCCTGTGCGGCAGCCATGCTGGTGGCGATAGCAAGCAATTCTATGTGGAGATATACACTATAGCTTTGCCTAGCAAACTTGACGTGAGTGGGGGTTCCCAAGGTACCTGTGACCGGTAATGTCAGGGGAATCCCCCAGACCTCAACTGTCGCATTGTTGGGAGGGCGATTGCTTTTCGGTGACAGAGTCATTTCCCAGCTCCTGTGGTTCCTTCATCCGTGGCGCGTTGGAGATCCTCACCAGTCGTTCTGGAATCCACACCGGTTCCTTTCCTGGTTCCTGTGGGAAGACACAAACCGCACCTCGGGTCCAGCTGAGCGCTGGGTCCGGGCCATTCCATTGTCCTGTAAGGACATCCTTCCATTTTACCATACCCTTATGCTTAGGAGAGGGACTTGTGTGCTCCTCTGCAGGGGAGCAATCATGTGCATTCAGATTTAAAAATTATATGTAAACAGAGCCAATGAGAGTCTTCCTTTCGGGGGGAGGCCATGGCCTATTCCCTCCTTTTGTTTTTGTAAGACAGTCTTGAGTGTTCTATGAGCTCGTTCAATAATGCCCTGCCCTTGTGGGTTATAGGGTATTCCATGTTTGAGAGTTACTTGCATTCTAGAGCAGAATTGAGCGAAGGCTTGGCTGGTATATGCCGGGCCATTATCAGTCTTTAGTATTTTTGGCCTTCCCCATGCAGCCCAGGCAGCCAGGCAATGATTAATAACATGTGTGACCCTTTCACTGGTTTCTGCAGTGGCAAAGATAACCTGCGAAAGGGTGTCAACAGACACATGCATGTATTTAAGGGTTCCAAATTCTTGAATATGGGTAACATCCATTTGCCAGATGTGATTGGGACTCAAGCCTCTAGGATTGATTCCGACAGAGGGTGTAGGTAGAAGAACCGTGCAATCTGAGCATAACCTTACTATCTCACGTGCCTGTTGTCTAGGTATCCCAAATCGTGCTGCTAGGGTGCGCGCATTAACATGATACAAGGAATGGAACTCCTTTGCTGCTGAATATGGGTCCTGGAATTCGAAGATCCACAAGGGGCGCGTTGCCGCATCAGCGACAGCGTTGCCCTGGGACAGAGGTCCAGGCAGTTGACTATGGGCCCTAATGTGAGTGGTGAACACCTTACCCCTGCGGGAGAGCAGCAGGTTCTGCATGTCTTGTAATAAGTGAGTAACTGTGGAAGAGGGCTTAATAGGTCCGGCCGATTCTAAGATCTGCATGGCATTGACCAAGTACTTGGAGTCTGAAATGATGTTAATGTTCTCTGGAAACATTTGAAGGACCTTTAACACAATTTGGAGTTCCACTACCTGAGGCTGATCAGGGGTGAACTGGTGAGAGACCGGGGGGTGGCCGGCCACTACATATGCCCCTACCCCCGATTTCGACCCATCCGTAAATATTACCGGAGCATTCGCAATCGGCTGTGAGGAGGTTATTTTAGGGAAAATAACCGGGTGGGCAGTCATAAATTGTAGGAGCGGGCTTTTGGGCATCTGATTATTGATGGGTCCATGAAAGGAGCATCTGAGGATAGCCCACACATCTACACAAGCTGTTAGGGTTTGTATCTGTTCCTCGGTGTAAGGAACATGCAACGCCGTGGGCGGGACGCCAAAATGTTGGATGGATTGTTGGACAGCTCTTAGGGCGAGAGAGGCTATCGCTTCTGGGTAGTACTGTATAACCTTAGCAGGGGAGACTCTGGGATGGACCCAAAGCAGGGGTCCATCTTGCCATAAAGCAGCTGTAGGTTGTTTTGCTGTTTTCAAGAGGCATGCGACAAAAGGTTTTTCTGGGTCAATATGTTGCAGTGCTGCCTTGGTTAGTGCTTGTTCAACCTTCTGCAGGGCAGCTTCTGCTGCTGGGTTGAGCACCCTGGGGGAAGTTAGATCTGAGTCTCCCTTGAGAATTTCAAATAGGGGCTGTAGCTCGTGATTGGGCAAAGACAGATACGGCCTGATCCAATTAATATCACCTAGCAATTGCTGAGCATCGTTGAGGGTCTTTATGGTGTCCCTGCAGATGGTAAGCCTTTGAGGGAAGATCTGAGTAGGTGAGATGTTAGCCCCCAAATACAAGGTTAGGGCAGACTGTTGGATCTTGTTTGGGGCCATATGCAGGTTAGCCTGGCGGAGTGTGTCAACCAGTGAACTGAGGGCAGACCGTAGTTTGACCTCGTCCTTCCCAGAAAGTAGGATGTCATCCATGTAATGAAAACACCTGATGGTAGGGAATTCTTGAAGCACCGGCTGAATGACCGAGCTGACATACAGCTGGCATATAGTGGGGCTATTGGTCATTCCTTGGGGCAGAGCCTTCCATTCAAAGCGTAAATCTGGACCCTCCTGATTGATCGTGGGCAAGGTGAATGCAAATCGGGGGGTATCTGCCTCATGTAATGGGATAGAGAAAAAACAATCCTTCAAGTCTATCACATAGAGAGGCCATCCTCGCGGTAGGGCTGTGAGTGCCGGCAGGCCTCGCTGTACTGCTCCCAGCGGCTGGACCTGTGCATTGACAGCCCGCAAATCATGGAGAAGCCTCCACTTTCCAGATTTCTTTTTGATAACAAATATGGGGGTATTCCAAGGGGAAGTGGACGGCTGGATGTGCCCCAGCCGTAACTGCTCTTGTATCAATTGAAATGCTGCCTCTCTTTTCTCTGTAGGCAGGGGCCACTGCATCACCCAGACAGGGGTATCTGAATTCCATGTCAATTTTATGGGAGTGGGTGTGAGAGGCATTGCAGCGGCCCCTAAGAAAAACCCAACCCTTTCCTGTCTTCTTTAATGGTAGTGGACACAGGAGAAGTATTTCCTTGCAATTTGATTCCCAGGCCTTTACCGGGGGTATAGCCCATCCGCTTCATCATGTTTTGAGACACCTCAGAACATCCCGTATGTAGGGTGATGTCCATTTGGAC